TATAGTTTTTTCATGGTGTAGTCTTTCATTTAGGATTTTTATAGAATGAAGGTTGTTGTGTTTTTGTTATTAGCAATCCCGTTTGACAAAATTCCTCTCAGTTGTAATTTTATTAGATCTTTTATTTCAGTGAGGCTATGAGTTTTTAGATACGAATCCAATCCGAATTGTGCATATGCAGAGGAGTTTGTGATCTTAATCCTATCATGTTTGCCACTTCACTGACTATGTCGGGGATCGAGCGGAGATGCAATCCTTTCAGAAGTTTCACTCACCTAGAAAAGTACTGGGAGTTGTGTTTTTGCGTTCGAGTGACACTTCCTGCACTCGAACGTAGACCCTTGTTCTGAAACACGCATTTAGTCAGCTCGCTCGAGCGGCTATTCTTCCGCTCGAGTGAAGATCGCGATTCTGCTTTCTATAAATATGCGATTAATTCTATTTCTAGGATACGGCTTCCAGATCTTCTTCTTGGATATTAGGGTTTTCATCTGGGGCTTCTTTGCTTGTTTCCTTTGATATTTGTGAGAGTTTATATCATGAATTGAGTGGATTATATCAAAGGGTTTGTTTATTTTGTTTTACTCAAAGAGGAGAGAGTTGTTTTTCCGTAGATTCCATAGAATTTGGGTATGAAGTTTTGGTGGATTCCTGAGTGGCTCATCGTCGTGGATTCGACATCGGCGTTGTGGATTCATCATTGGGCAAGACAATTTCGAGGTGAAGAGGGTGGTGGAAGAGGCACATTGGGGTTGGTTCAATTTGGGCGTAGATTCGCTAGGCAATTGAGAGTACACTTGTATAATTCCTTTTTGTCTTCTTAGTGGATTGTTTTGTGGCTTTTGCCCGTAGTTTTTTTTATCACAATTGGAGACATTCCAATTGTGGTTTTTTCACGTTAAATCGTTGTGTTGATTTGTTTTTGATTGTTTGATTGTGATTGCTATTTACTGGTTAAAATTGATACATAATTACAAATTAATATCTCGGGGATTTTGAGACTTTTCAAAGGTGAAATTTCAATGAGTAATTAACATGAAATTTCAATAATCACAAAAGGAACTCCAAATAAATTTTTAGGAAGCCAGTCTAAGAAAAAACTTACAATGACATATTTATTATGACAGGTTGCATCTAATTCCTTCTCTGAAATCATTTACTCTGACCAGGGTATTTACTTTCTTCCGCTCCTCATATTTTAGATCAAAACTTTCCTTCCATGGCTTCTTCATGTTTACCTAAATCGAAAGAGTACCAAGTAAAACATCATATTACCGAAACATACAAGTAATCCGTAATTCCAATATGAGCAAAAAGTAATAATTTGTGAAGAACAAACCAACAATCCTAAGCAATTTATAAAAAAGAAAAGATAGTCATTCTCCTGGTGATAAAATTATGCAAAATGAATACTCAATAAAACAGTAAATAAGATCGATCACATAACAATTATTCACCACATAATATATATATACATAAATGAACCACCAAACCAACATTTGGCTATATAGAAATAGGGGCAAAGAGACTAGGAGAGAACTCCAAATCCTTTAAACAAGTCTTATGTTGGATACTCAGATTTTATGCTTGCTAAATACAGCCAATATTTTAGAGACAATTAAATTTGATATTTTGTACAAGTGAAAAGGTCAAAAATAAAAAAATAAAAAAATCAATACATAATGACTCAGAGAGAGATGTAATATTAGAATTAAGTAATATCATTGTGAACTTCGATATAATCTTATATGGAATGAATCCAAATGGTAACAACAATGGCAAGCATGCAAAAGAGAATGACCCCAAAATAGCATTTGAAGCAAATGAATAGTAACAAATGCAGTGTTATTTTTAAAAGATAAGAAGGTAAAGTGCTACCGGGCCATACACAAGGGAGTCAACTAAAACAAACTAACAAGAAGTAGCATAGTAGAGTTGGTTAAATTACTCAATTCCACAACCAAGACGGGTTCAAATCTGGCTAGTATGTTGTTTTCACTACAGAAATATTAAAAAATGACAAACAAACATATCACTGGCCATTTGGTTCACTTTGGTTTAGAACCATATAATGGAAGCCTTATAACCGTGAATCAAAACAGTTTGGTTTAGAACCGTAACGGAAGCCTAAAACTCCGAATCAAACTGATTTGAATGTTCCACCATTTGCAAAACTAGGATCTAGCACATGACTGACTATATTACACATGTTAAGCAGTACTATGAAAAGACTACAATGTACGAAGTGTGCATGAAACCATAAAACAAAATGAAAATGCATAATAAGGCACAGAAAAACTAAAAATGAACCAAGGAACACTAGAGACAGCAAGAAGTCTGAAATGGGCTTGTATAAACAAAGATTAAAAAAAAAAAAAAAAGAATTCTATGACTATAAAGATTATCCAAAGCATACAAAAGAGGTTTCCCAAAAAAGATGACTCAAATACAATTTGTCACAAGTTTGTTTTGATGAAACAATGTATTTTGACCACAGGCACAAACAATTAACTTTGAAATAACAATTGCCCTAAGAAAACAAGTAAATGTGCATAAAGAAAGAAACAAAGGAGAAAGAGAAAAAAAATCATTTACATTTGAGTGGGTAGAGAAACAAGACTCTGTGTAAATCATAAAGCATAATAACGCGGCGGATAAAATATCAGAATCATACCTTGTTGACAAGAACCTCGTGGGTAAATCACGTGCTTCTAGAATCTGATCAATCAACCCAGCAGTGGAGTGATACTACAAAATGAGTATCACCCACACCAGTCACAGTGCAGAGGCTTGATCGTTGTTTTAATGGGAGAGAGTCAGAGAGAGAGTTTTGGAAAAAAAAGTTATGGGTAAAAACCACATAACGTATATTTGATATATGTATTTGATCTATTAAATATATTATATATAAAATATATTAATCAGATATAACAACCAATATTTATCTATCCATCTATCCATATCTATTGATATGATAGATATAGATATCCTGAATGGTTATCCAAATAAGTTTTAAACTCAAATTCAAACTTACATGGATAAGGTTCAAAAGGTTCAGGTTCAAAAGGTTCAAAGGGTCATGCCACATGGGCCCCCAATTTCTAACATCTCCCACTCGCACATGAGTTGGCATGACACTGCCACATCTCTATCTCATCTCCCCAAAAAAAGAACAATCTCATACTAGCCAATGCACCGTGCGACTGCTGAGAACACCTACATGTGGGAGCTCTATACTAGAAACTCAAAATGAGCCAGCATAGAGACATCAACCCAAAAAGAACAGAAATAGTGTCTCATATACCCCAGACCCATCTAATTACACCGGTACAAAAAACATCTCTAATCCCTCAAAAAGAGCATGTTTGACCCTCTCAATTCTTGCAATATATTCACACTCAATTCGCCTCTCATACAGAGCGATGTGAGTTGCCGGCAGTGAATATACAACAG